CCAAAGCGCCTAAAATTACATATTAACTAGTGATAAAATCAGCATATTTTGCCAAAAACACCTCGAAGCGAGAGGAAATAATAAGTCCTCGAGACACACAGAATAAAAAGCCGTACGCTAGATCCATCTAAGCAAAACTGACAAGATAAAAAAAGTGATCTCATGAATCACACGAAAAGTATCCGCCACGCGCACTCGTCTACATATTCGTGATTTCATCAATATCACTCATTACGCGTAAATAATTACACAATATAAGGAGCTCGAAGCTCAAAAGATCATGAGGCGGAAACATTGCCAAATTGTAAAGAATAAACGCGACTTCAGAACAGTTCAATCCAGAACATGTCCTAAACTCGGGGGCCTCCTGTTGATACCCAATTTGGCTCCGATTAAATAAATGATAAATTAAATAATAAAATACGGCCCAATGACCGAGGAGCCAAAAATACATAATAAATGGATATACGAACAGGTTCTCGAGATGGATCGCCTAAAAACCGACCAGGTTCCCAAATGTCGAGTCCACTGCTACCGAGCCGAGGAGACGGACATCGGTCGGAACCGTCAAGGGTCATTTGCGGGTCCCGCAATGACTACCTCTCATTAAATGATAATGTACTACCTTTTATTTATTTTTGCCCACTTGCAAAAAAGGGGTAGACTTGTATATATATGTAAGAAGGAGGATAGAGAAGTGGGGCTCTTCCATTTTTTTCATTTTGTTCTCCACAACACACAAGAGAGAGAGAAATACTCTCCAAATGAATGCAAAGAAATACTATTTCCATCAATTTTGTCCTTCATTTTTCATTCAACAATTCGATTTACATTTAACAGTTGATCGTTCGATTTCTGACATCAACAACTATCTAACGTCAATTTATAACATAACTAAGACTAATATGTAATATAATAATTTCTAACTCGTAACACGATAATATCTAACGTCCAATTTAGATTATAATCAACATGTAACATAATAATTTATAACTCTTAACACGATACTATCTAACGTCAATTTATAACATAACTAAGACTAATATGTAATATAATAATTTCTAACTCGTAACACGATAATATCTAATGTCTAATTTATATTATAATCAACATGTAACATAATAATTTGTAACTCCTAACACGATACACGTTCAATTTATAGCATAATCAAGTCTAAAATGTAACATAATAATTTATAACATAATAATATAGTCCAATTTATAACATAATTATTTCGAATATATAACATAATAATTTAAAAAAAAAAAAAAAATTGTCCGGCCGGCCGAACCGGACGGACCGGTTCCGACCGGCCGTCGTTTTCGGACGGCTTTTAAGCCGTCCGTAGGGGTGTTCAAAGTTCGACTAAAATAGACCGAACCGACCGAACCGACCAATTCGGTTCGGTTTTTGTTCGACTCGATCGGTAGTCGGTTTTCGATTTGTAAATTTTTGGTTTTGTAGGTCGGTTTCGGTTTCGGACATAAAATGACCGAATAAACCGAACCGACCGATTAATATATATATATATATATATATATATATCATATTATATATTATATATTATAATATAATAATTTAATACAAATCTATTCCCTTCGCTTTCGCTTATTTCATTATCATTATCATTATCTATATATATATAATAAGAATTAACATTTATCATAAATAGTAGTAAGGAAAAGTCAACCACATTTATTATATACTATTTTCAGTAACTTTTACATTTTAATTTTAATTCATTATCAAAAAATTGGATGGTTCCTAAATTAATGGGTTTTAAATGCACGTATCATATTTCAAAAATTATAAGTCATTTAAAATCGGAGGGTTCATAAATTAATGGTTACAAACTTTTCAAAGTTGTAATCTTTATGGCATCTTTTCTTTTTGACTTGTAATAATAAAATTATTTTAAACATATATATTCTAATCCAAAAATTCAATCATGTTCATAAAATTATTTTAAACATATATATATATATATATATATATATATATATTGAACGCTAAAAATATTTTTTAAATTGCATACCCAATCAATTAATCTTAATTTTTTTAAAATTACTATGTTTATTTTTTTATTAATATGTATAAAATAAAAATAAATAGTTCATCTTTGGATATATAATTTATAATCTTAATATACTATCATTTGGTGTAGACATATGAATCATAAAATATTTTTATTTCATAAAATTAAATATTATATTTAAAGAAAATAAGGAAATTACTTTGGATCAATCGGGTGATTGAATTAGGGTACTGCCCACTTTGATTGAATTACTTTTAGGTGATATTTAAAATAGTCAAAAAACTTGACATAACTTGGTTGGTCCGAGGTAATTAAGTTATGTATCAGTTTGACCAGACCAAATCCCCTCTATATATAATTTCAGAATGCGCTGAGCCTACGTGGCAAACTCTCATGCTTCGAAATCCTATTTGGCAAAAAATCATGCTTTGGAGTTAGGCTTGGATATAAATTAATATTTGTATTAATTGTATTTTAATATCATTTCCTATTATAACTATTGAATTGCAAATATATTTTAAAAGTTGATAACTTTTGTATTTCTTATCGGCTTTACATATATAATATATCAAATTATTCATCTTTTGATGAGTTTCGATTTGACATCCATATTGTATATATAAAATAAATAAATCATATTTATCTTTATAATAATAATAAAACTATTTATTAAAATTAATTAGAAAATAAATTTATTTATTAATTAATATATTTATGTTTAATGTAGTTATATGTTATAAGGTAGAAAATTTATTATAATATAACACATATAAGTCGCACAAGTAACATGTGTCATACTAAAATATATAATAATATATACTCCCTCATATTTTTATTATTTGTCACTTTGGCTTAATTGATCATTGCTAAAATAAATGTCGTTTTCGATATTTTGTTCATATTTTTTCCATTTTTAACCCGACATATAATACACAATGTCTCTTCATATCCCATCTCAATCGTTTCCCATAACATCCATTAAATAGAGTTAATATTAACAAGAAAAAAAAATCTTAATTAGTTTGTTGCATTTGAATTGATATTATGAAGTCCGTTTGTATTTTACTATTTATTTTTATATATATAATACAAAACAGTAATATATATCCTTATAAATAAAATTTAAATTTATTTATCAAACTAAATTAAAATAAAACTATAAATTATTTTATAAAGTAATAGAAATTGGTATATATTCTTTTAAAAATGATATTTATTTCAAATCTAATTGGTATGTTGTCAATGTAATAAAAATAAATAATTATTTATATAAATTCTAAAATTACATATAAAGTTAAAAAAATTGTGAAGCACGACTGACACGACACTTGATATATTAGGTATCTAATTAAGTAAAAAAATTAATCTATTTTGCTTAAATTAAATAAACATATTCTACACTTATGCATATACATGTCACCATATTATTTCTATTTATTTAAGATATATATTTTTGTACTTATGTAATAGTAAATAATATCAATATTTTCATATGATATAAGTAAAAAAATTAAACACGAGTTGACATTTTCATTTAATGTACGGGTGTTTAATTATTATAATTAAAAAAATATAATTTGACAATTTAATGAAACCCAAAGTAATGTTTTATATAAAATTAAATTATTTTAGTTTTTAAAAAAATAAAAAATTTAATATTTTTTTACAAAAGCTTTCTAATTCAACACCCGTGTAATACATGGGTATTGTACTAGTTGATTATTGAACCTAAATATAAATTTTAATATTGAAAATACTTTATTACGTGAATGTGATGTCGTCCAAACTTCAAATAATCATATTAACAATACTTTTATGACAACGTGATTAATGATTTATGAATATTTATATATCATTTTATTATTATTTATGTGAACAAAATATTTATTTCATTATCATTTTTATTAATGTACGGTAAATATAAGGTTTTCAGAATCGCATCGTCTTGTGGTTGTTCAGATTTTAATACATAATACTTTAATATATATATATATATATAGTATTTTTTGTAATAAATTTAAATAGAAAGTGTTACTTAAATATCTAAACAATTTATAAATTCAAATGTTTAAACTAATTGATAAACAATTTATAGATCTCTATTTTATTTAAATATGTAATTTTATTTAAAATAATTTTTCATGTAACAAAATTTGTTTAGAAAATCGTATCGATCTTACCAGTCCAACATACTGGTGTTGGCGGATTCGATAGCAAATATTTTATTTAAGCGCACTAAATCGGTTATAAACCGGTTCTCGGTCCATCCGGTCGGACTGTGTCAAACCCGGTTTAATTTATAAATAATGAGTAAATTATGATTAATGTTATTTATTTATTTAATTTATAATACAATCAAAATATTATTTTCCCGTGCATCGCACGGACCACGTACTAGTTATATAATAAAAAAGAAGCATGTGTCTTCATTTCTTGACACGTGGCACTTTATAGTATATTTTATTTGTCCTGATCAAAACGACACCGTTTTGGTGAGTTCTTTTCTGTGCCGTTGGATTTTACGGATTCAATCTTTACCGTTCGTCTAAGACTTTAAATGCTCTCTCCTCTCATTCTGGCCCTCACCCTCGAGTCTGAACTCTCTTTCTCCTATGTTTCTCACTCTTTGTTCTTCGCGATGCAAATCTCTCTTTGACCTTCAATCGATCGTTTGTGAGGCGTGAAGGAGTCGTTACTCCGTCATCCTTCAGTCGTACAACCGCTGCATCATCGTCTCCCCCTCTCTTCCATCGCAGGCCCTTTGTGGTGCCTTTGGCGATTCCTTCTGCGAAGGAGAGGGCTTCACAATTTGGGTCGGGCTGTGTTCGACTGCACTCATACGACGCCATTTCACACAAAAAGAAAAAAAAACCCAGTCGGGCGTTCACAACTTAGATCTAATTTCATCGCCAATTTTGACAGCCCTTTCACATACTCTCAAATTCTATCTACGATTCCTCTTTGTATGCGGCTATGGATTAAATTAGGTAAGAAATTTTTAATCTTTTTGCATTTAGGTTCAAAATTTTCTGCCTTATTATTATTATTTTCTTTTTTTAGGTTTTCGTGTTTTCTGAAATGGCTTCGAGAGTGCGAGAATGACCTCTTTCTTATTTTTTTTGTCTTCTGGGTATTTAGTGAGTTAATGTGTTTGCCGTTTAAAGCAAAACTTGATATATATTGCTCGACTACAAAGTACTTAGCCAAAACTGAAATTTTATATATTTATGGTGTTTTGCTACTCATGAATATAATGAAAGTATACTTATTTGTCAGTTTTTTGCCCGGCTGCATGTAGGATTGTTTTCTGTATGCAACATAATAATATAAACTTTGTTTTGTTGCATTTACTAATAGTAATTTCATTTTATAATAAATTTTCTTGCTTTGCTGAAGTTTAAAGGTGAACATGGATTTGCTGCGTGTTATATTTTCTTGCATTTACTACTTATTGTTTTGTTTCAGTCCTACAAATAGAAATAGGATCAGAAGCATAAAAAATCTTTTGTTCTTTTTTTTTTTTTTCATATTTTACATCAGTTTTTATTTCATTATGATTGGTTATTTTGTTAAATTTAACCGTTTTGATTACTATTTTATATTAAATTTAACCCATCATTTACTATTTTGTTAAATTTAACCTTTTTGAGTACTATTTTATGTTGGCATGTGAGGGTTAATTGATGTTATAAATTACTTTGTTTGGATTGTTGCTCAAAATTGATCTGTTGTGTAGGCATAGGAGAATGAACCGGATAGGGCTACTACCTCGATGTTTTGTATCCAAACAAAATATATTTTGTCTATCTTATATATTCAAATTTTCAGCAAGTGTTTATCATTGAACACATGACTATGAATTTAGATTCTAAATGATGGGTTGGAATGGAATTGACAAAATAAGGAATCGACTATGATTGATGTTGTTATTTTCTTTTGATATATATAATTCTATCAAAGAAAAAAATATTTATATTGCTATAGATGATACAAAAAAAAATATCAGATATAAAACTAAAATCCTTATAATGAGTTATTACCTCCTTCTTGGCAATTTGTTGATTACTTTAATTTAGGGGTTTGATGTATATTTAGTGACATCTTTTGTTTATGGTTTCAATAAATTACTTCATTATTTTTCATTATTTTTTATTACAATAAAATATTTTTTTCGCTTGAAGTAAAAATTCTAACGTGGACCGGCCGTGCTTTGCACGGTGATAGCCTGCTAGTATATATATAAAAAGGAAGGTATTGCCCTGAATGAGTGACGCATGTCCAATTTTTCATTTCAGGTTTTATAAACGACGTCGTTGTTATTGTCATAAAACTGACGTCGTTTTGCTTACCCTGTTCCCCAACTCATTTCTCTTCTCGGTTTCAGTTTTCCAAAACCCTAATCACCGTACCACTCTTTCTATCTCCTCGACACCGCTCCTACCATCGCATCATACAACCTTGATTAACCACAAGAGAGAGAAAAGACGGCCAAGAACAAAGTGAGTCTGAAATTCTTTCTCATTTACCAGTTTTGCCTGACCAGCTGGGAACCTCCGTCCAGAGCAAGGACTACAAGGAGGCGCCGTCGACGCCCCTGTTCGAGCTCGGTGAGCTCCATACTTGGTTCTTCTGGAGGGCTGGCATAGCCGAGATCATAGCCATTTTCATGTTCCTATACATTACGATATTGACGGTGATGGGGCTCTCGAGGTCCGGCAGCAAATGCTCGACAGTTGTTTGTGCTTTTGGTGGCATGATCTTTGCCCTTGTTTACTGCACTGCTTGAATTTCTGGTAATTTTTTTCCCTCTCTGCAATTCAATACCATATGTAATTTTGTGTGAGTGTGTTTACTGCTGATTTTTTGGGGATTTCCTTGATGTTTGAGCTTCAATTTTTCTTCATCTGGTCCGTGTTGTCAATTTTCTCGCTTTTTTCTTTTCTATTCTGTAAATTAAATTTTGGATGGATCTGATATTCCTTTTTATCCTTTATCTTTTGTCATGTTTTTCTTCAGCTAAATTCATCTGTAAAAGTGATGAATCTGTAAAAGTGATGAATCTGATTCAATTCTGTTTCTGGTTTGAAACTTTTTCATGGAAAAAATTTCATGCGCTAATCTGTAAGCTTGTCATGTTTATTCTTGAGCTAAATTTATTTGTAAAAGTGACAAATTCTCTCTTTTCTGGTTTGAATTTTTTTTCTTTGAAATAATTTCATGTGCTAATCTGTAAGTTCATGTTTATTCTTGATCTCAATGCATCAATGCATCTGTAAAAGTGATAAATCTGATTCTATACAAACAAAAACATTCCATTACCTCAGTTTCTTTGTATTGGTTACATGAGAAACTAACTAAGTACAACATATAGGTTCCGGTATACACCTGATGTCCTGATTATGTATAACTATATATTTCTCTTTGAAGCTGAAAACCTGTTTGTGTTCGTGAATTTTCTCAAGTTGTTCAATTATCATTCTACTACATTGACCTTTGAAATACTGGTTGTATTTGGTAATGGATGATTATTTGTGTGCTGAGCATAAACTCCTTTTAATATGCAGTTCAAAAGATTCATCTTCAACATATTTTCATAAAGGGATATTATAAAATCATCACCATTATAAAAGTTCATAATTTTAATTTTACAATATCTATTAATTTAGATTTTATACACTTTCTATTTGGATTTAATTTAAGCACCAATTAAACATAAGAATCAGAAGCATCATTTTACGTTGATTGATCTTGTGTTGATTGATTGTGTTTTGTTTATAAGCTGGATATTAATTTGACTATCCTCAAATGAGATTAGAACATATTCCGTCTGTGATGTTTATTTTGTCGGGACTGCCCACGTTTCTACGGTAATTTGTCATTGATTTTATGTTATATATGTTTTTTTTTTTACTGGTTTTTTTGGAATTTTCTATTGAAAGCTTGATTGGTGGAATTTGGGAAATGACAGATTTTGGTTATTTTTAGCTGATGTAAGTGGATGAATAGCTAAAGTTGAGTTTCATATATGTGGTTCTATGCTGGAAAGAGTGATTTATCATCGAATAGTTTGTATTCAAGGCACGTCTTATTGTGATCACGTTGAAACCAAATATGCAAATGAGTTGAAGAATTTAGTTTACCTTTTATCCTCTGTCTTTTATATTTGTATTTTTTGATGTGTTTTGTGAGAAGAATGTCTCTGATAATGACCTCGATGTTGATGGACTTTCAGTACTCAAAATTTCAAGTCTCTTAATCATTTTTTAGAATGAAGTTTGATCCTTTTTGAGTGGAAAAATTCGATGTACATGCCTTAGTTCTTGTTTTGTCTTATAATGATGTTGAAGTAGTTGAATTTCATGCAATTGGACTTGTTTAAATGAATGGCTATTCCTGACATTAACTCCAAAATGCCATCACATTGCATCAAGATACATTATGAAATATTTTGTTCCCTTCTGAAGTAAAAGTTTCCTGGTAGAGCAGAAATTAGCTATTAATTTGGGTCCATTCATATATATTATTATCAATCTTTTTTAGAAACTTGTGCTGTTATATATAAGTTATATAAGGATTTTGCTCATTTCTTTGTTGTTCAGGAGATAAAGTTGATGTGGCTTGCTTTTGGAATTTAAAATGTTTAGCTTTGGTGAGGGAAATCGATCATGACATATGATCTTACAAAGCAGGAAGTGATTTTTTTTTTAATTTTTTTTGGATTTAATGCATTTTGTCCTCAGTCAAGCTTACCTGAACAATATAAGTTTTCCCGTCTGTCTGTTGATGAGTCTGTTTTCATGTTTTCATAATTGTTGCATGTAACAATGGAAAAATGAATTCTTTATTAGCTGAATAGTTATTTTAAATTTTAAATTTTGTGAGAAAAAGGTATTTTCAAATCCTATACAGTCCCACAGTCAAACCATTTTGGCTTTTTGCAGGCGGCTCATTTGTTACTGCTGCAACTAACTACAACGCCAGGGTTGTCGAGTGTCATTTAGCTTCTGTAAGTTTGTTACAATTTTATGCAATTTATTTGTAGTAGTGACTGATTATTTACATTTATGTACTTTGAGATAAATCTTTCGTTGCACAATTCTATATTTTCAATTTACAATCTATTTTCATTAAAAAATAATTAATATGTTTATTTATTTCTTTTATTTATTGTTATTGAAATCCAATGATTGTTGGTATATTGCAGAGTGTGTGGGATAAAACTTTGGATGAGTAGGCAAGAAGCAATAGCAGAGGTGAAAAAATGTTTTTAGATGTTGAGGGGTTGTGTGTATCATTTGCGACACACGTGGGTCCTATGATCCGATTATTTATGTGAAGGTACCTCTTTGTTTCTTTTTTTTTTCCCTGACCAATGTTTATGCAGCCATTTGGTTCTAATAGTTTTTGTCATTGCCTTCATTTTCATTATTGATTACTCTTCCTCTGTTTTTTGTTTGTGAATGCTGTGGAGTGTTATGAGAAGTTTGGCGGTCTGAAGGGACACGTAGATTTTCAAAGTTTGATTTCAATTTTATTAATAAGAGTTGGGGTTTTCTTTCAGTTATGTTTAATTTCTTTCAGTTAAGTTACATATTTGATTCTGAGTCTATTTATCTTTGCTACTTTCTATTGTCAAGTTTTTTCATTTATTTTTCTATTGCACCTCAGCTTCATGCTACTTTTTTTGTCAAGTTAATTTCAACTTCAATTCCTTGTGAAAGCAAAGACTTAGTTTTATGTTCCTTGTGTATGTTATTGGATTTTGTTATGAACTTATGATATAGGACTTTTTTGTATTAGCATAATCTATAAGTATGGCTCCAACATGAATAATATTTATGGGTAACTTCATGCAATGATACAGTATGTTTACCATGTTATTGCACTAAATTCTTTTAGATTATCGCCTAAAGTTATTCGAATGTTATTATTTAATAGATACATGATTGCTTTGATCAAATTTCTTTTAGTACATGAATTTTATAAAAAAATAATTTATACACTCATTTATATGACATTTACATGACACTGATAACTGGTAATATGCTATACGATTACAGTGGGCCGGCTGTGCTTTAGGGTGTCTAGTATTAACAATAAAGTCCATAACCCTAAATCCTAAATTCCTAATCGCTCTCTGTATCTGTACTCCTCTTCTCCTCATTTCAGAAACGCGCCGCACGCCTGCCTTCTCCAATTCCTCCCGTCCCCGCCGTCCCAAAATCTTCCGCCCCTACACGGCTACACCCCTAGCCGCTACTCCTCCGTCGCTCACCAGTCGTCCGTCGCTCGGTGCTCCTCTGTCCGGTCAAGGAGCTCGTGGTCACCGGTCGTCGACTCGCACCAGTCGTCCGTCGCTCGCTGCTCCGTCTGGTCAAGGAGCTCGTGGTCACCGGTCGTCCAGGCACACCGCACACGGTTGTAACTGTAAGTATTTTTTTTGTTTTATTTTCTAAAGTCACAAATTTCAAATTAACAAATTGTAATAAGAAAATACTAGATTGATTTGTTTTTGGGCAGTGACATTGTAATGGATTAGAAAGAAGAAATGAAGATGAGTGACAGTGTAATGAATTAGAAAGATGAAATGTGTACAGTGTAAATGTGTAATGATTAATAAATTAGAAAGAAGAAATGTGTACAGTGTAATGAATTGATAACAGATATGAAGATGAACTAGATGAAGATGATAAAAAAATTCATGATATGTGTACAGTGTAATGAATTAGAATGAAAGAATCTTAGTGAATCAGATGTTGACCAACTTTGTGGAAAAATTCAGAATGTCCGATGAGTGACATATGATAATTGATAACAATCTAAATAATATCCAAAAATTATGTGAAAAATTGGGGGGTAAGAACAAATTGCAGTATACAGGCATCAATTTCTGTTGAAATAATGAAATAAAGTCACAAATTTGCATAACAAACTATACAGGGAATTCAATTGGTGTATGCACCAATTGAAGATCAGATATAACATGAGAAATGAATTAAGGTAAACATCATTCTAATTTGTTATAAACCGAAATTAATACACAAAATGTATGATGTTTACCTTAATTTCATTTCTCATGTTATATCTGATCTTCAATTGGTGCATACACCAATTGAATTCCCTGTATAGTCTGTTATGTATAGTCTGTTATGCAAATTTGTGACTTTATTTCATTATTTCAACAGAAATTGATGCCTGTATACTGCAATTTGTTCTTACCCCCCAAAAAAATAAAAAAAATCATCTTTCTTATTTGTAAAAGGTAATTTGATATTTTCGACAGGTGCATTGTCTATGCATTCTTACACCCTCGACTTGTTTTACTGTAATTTATCAGTTTACAGGTAACACGAGTGTCTATCACCGTTGTTTCTTTCCAGGAAGGGACTTTTGAAACAAAGGACGAAGATAAACCATCCCCCCGTCCAAAAGAAAAAAAGAAAAAAAATGCTACAAAACATACCCCACCAAATCGTCCAGTCCCCAGCTCGACTCGGCCTCCCCACCCCCAACTCTCCTTCCCTCCAAAACCCCAAACTCCCGACCCAAACTCCTCCTCAACCATCCTCTCTCCTCTCTCTTCTCCCTCCTCTCCCACGCGCCCAATCTCTCCTCCTCCAAATGGCTTCCCTTGCCTCTCGACTCTTCCAAGTCTCCCCCAACCGCTCTCATTGGCTCTCCTCTTTTCGCGGCTCTCTCCCCTCTTTCCTCTCCTCCTCCTCATCTCTCTCCCTACCCGACTCTTCCAAAGAGATTCTCTCCCAATTCACCTCCCTCCAAACCCAACTCTTCGAATCCGTAGCCGAACTCCAAGAGATACTCGACCTCCAAGACGCCAAAAACAAACTCTCCCGAGAAATAAACTCCCTCAACTCCTCCCTCCTTGATTTCGCCACCAAGCTCAAAAACGTCGAGCACGCCCTCGACACTCTCGTCGACGACTACTCCTCCGAGTACCGTAAATCGAGCTCCACCACAATAGAAACCACGCTCAAGCTCTCCGAAATACTCTCCTACGCGCACAAGATAAGTTACACAACTTTCGCCCCTCCCGAATTCGGGTCGGGCCAGGGCCCGCTCCGCGGGGCGCTGCCGCCTGCTCCGCAGGAGGAGCAGATGCGCGCGTCACAGCTGTACAGTTTCGCGGGCCTCGACGTCGGGCTTCCGAAGGCGGCGGCAGACGAGGAGAGGATAATCGAGGCGCTGGTGGAGGAGTCGAATATCCCGATTGCGAATATTGTGGTGCCGTCAGGGTGGAAGCCCGGGATGCCGGTGGAGTTGCCGAGCGATTTGCCGATGGTGCCGCCGCCGCCAGGGTGGAAACTGGGCGACCCGATTCCGCTGCCGCCGCTGGAGTTGGTACCTCCGGTGGGCCGAGGGGCAATGGAGGAGGAGGTGGTGAGGCAGGCGAGGCCCGTTGGGCCGCCTGTTGGGCCCATTGGGAGGGGGCCCGAGCCCATACAAGTGCGGCACGTGCAGCTTGATATCGAGGATGATAGTAGCGATTACAGTAGCGACGAGGGGAGTTCGGACAGTGAGGATTGATTTGATTGGGTGATGAGTGTTTGTTTAGATGGTCTATTTCTCTTGTTTTTTAAGGGAATTACAGAATTAATGTATTTCTCTTGTTGCTTGACTTTTGGATTCAACTTATATTATTCCTCAGTGATAATAAAATAGGTGATACACATACTACAAAAGCTATGGAGAGAGATGACACATTCTTTATCTTTGTTCTCTCTAAATGGTGAATTATAACTCTTTCTAGTACATTCAAGAGGTAAATATGATTCAATGAAGAAAGATCTTATTTATGTTGGAATCTTGATCAGATGTCAAACTTCATGATCAACCTCCATCCAATCTACATACAGCAAACATAAAAGTCATGGGAGTTTTAGACTTTTTGCATAAATTGCAAATATTAAGAGAATAAGTAAATTAACAAATTAAATGGTAAAAAGATACCGTGTTGTGCTTGGCGCGCACAAAATAAAATAAAACTCCTCAATATTCTCGAAATAATGTACCATGCTTGATAATATATTGCCATACTCTTAAATATCTAGCCTAACTAAGTGCGAGATCGTAATCTAAATAAATCTTACCTAAGCGAGACTCCACAATTGTCACGTGTGTAGTGCCGCCCTATTCTATACCA